AAACACCACTACTGATTCAACAGTAATCTTCTTTAATTCACATAAATAATACTATATCCATTGTGGATTCACATTTGAAGCTTAATTTATTATTTTCTCTACATGAATTTGTACATTCTGATCTTATCCTGTCAAAAATAACAACTACTGATACTTTATTTTATCTAAATACTGTATGAATTTAGTCCTACTTACTAAAACTGTTTTTTTCTTTGGTATCAAATAGAAGGTGCATGTATGTGTTTCAAAACACCAATGATAGAGAACTGAAATTTTAAGGATATACCTTTATGGTCATTAATTACAGAAATATCGTTACAACAAAAACAAACCAACAAAAGACTGATGTAAAATGGATCATTTTTTCCTTACTGGTTTGTGCTCCTCCTCATACCTTATGAAATTACTGTTCAAGTGAAAGTAGCAAGTATTCGGGAGTTTTAATAAAGAGCGAGCCCTAACAATCCAGGACAAAATAAGTCCTCAGTATTATCAATGGCAAAGCTGTCTTAAGAATTCCTTGGTTTCAGAATTTCGCCGACAAGTCAAATTTCAGACTCAGGGTAGAAATTCTCCCAATCTTTTATACAATCCATAAAATGAAACAGAAGCTTGAAGCAAAAATAAGGTGTTAAAATTCTTAAAGTTGGTACACTAATTTTTGATGTTAGAATTATAAAAAGCCTGGTTCATATTCAGAAACATATACATTACAATAAACTCTGATAATCTTACAGAAACCCAGAAAACTTTAAAGTGTTCCTGAAGCAAAGGGGAGAAGCAACGACATAAAATAATATACAAAACCATGTTTGCTGCAAACATTCAGTGATCTAGAAAATAACATACACATTTAGAGAGTAAGCCACGTTAATTTAAAAATATCAAATGATGTTTATACAGTAAAAAGATTTTTACTTTCAATAACGAGAGTTAATATAGCTTTGTAAAACTGTACATCTGGTAGGCATATTGCATAAATATGTGCGCTGCTACATGTACACGAGTCTTTAGGCAATGCACAATACGGGAAATCAGAAAATGAATGTGTGGAGTTTAGAACATGTAGACCAGAAACACCACAGTACAATACCCAGGAGATTAAAATTCACCACCTTAGATACAAACAAGTAACTGCCTTCAAAATACATTCACATGGTCATAATGTATTGCCTTAACTGAGCAAGTTGACAAAATCCTTAACACTGCAATATGAGCGATTTTGGGTTGGTACAAATCGATGAAATTCCACTGAGGTCAAAATTGTGCACTGACTTACACCAATGAAGAGTTTGGCCAAATTATACTTAGAGCTGTATTTTAAATGCAGCACATGAAGTAAATATTATCACAACAAAAAACACGTATTTTGAGAAAAATGCACAATCATAGAAAATTAACTTGACAAAAAAAATGTATAGCCATGTTGTGTGTTGTATAAGCAGCATATTATCACGTATAGCAGGATATTAAAGAGAAATGGATGTCCCCAATGGCCTTTTAAAGCTTAGCCTGAATACAAGAGCTACTACAACGATAACACTGCAAAAGAAGATGATGTTGCTTCATAATGATTTCATTGTTGTTCGAGCACAGCGAATGATAAAAACATTCTCACTCACTAACACCGTAAAAGGTGGGGTTTTTACCAATGATTGTGTCAGCAGTTTCTCCATAAGTGACTACCCATCACTCACTCCGGCAGAATGTGAAATGTGGTGATTGCTCCGCAGCAATTCATAGCTTGCAGAGCTGCTAGTTTTCATGCCAATACAAGATGATCATGTTCCTTAATGCCCAAAAGCTCCTCCAGAGCATGACCCTATGGGTCACATTACCTGAGCAATGGGAAATCCCCAGAAGATCATGGTCTAGGCAGATTGCAACCTTCCAAGGACCAAATAAAGATACTCTTCTCACCTCAGTAGAACAGACTGACTTTCCAAGAAATTTCTCTGCAGAGTTGGCCTGGTAAATCACTTAACAAAATCTGTAACCTCGTTTAGGTTTAGGTCTGAAGGTTTAATTCTTTCAATTCCAGTGTACCCCTTTGACTGTTTACACTAGGAAGACAGGCCAATAGTTCTAAAAACTGGCAAACTGGCCAGTAGCATAGACACACTGGATCTGTGTAAATTCAACCATAAATTCATTAGGTTTAATGAATTTTGTGGAATTTATTTAGAATGATAAAAATCCAATAATTTAGCATTTGAAATAATTTTTACTTACAAATTATTCTGCCAAGTTAAGGAAGAAAAATACACATTTAATCTAAAATACCAGATAAAACATGAACAAGAAGAACTACCCTTATATAACTTACTAGAAGTTATATCTTTAATAATAAAAGAGAAACTCAAAAGAATATTTTATTAGGTCATTTAATTTAGCGTGTTCAATTTTAAATTTAACTTCTGATTTATTTGGTTTTGCTTTTACAAATGAAGTCGCATATACAAACAGCTCTAGCTCTCGAGGCAACAGCATATGAGAAAATTAGTACACTTGATTATTAGTGTTTTTAAGTAGTTTATACACTTAAAGCAGTTACAGTAGATAATAAATAATTGTTCAATGTCTTCAAAGTGTTTTAACAAAATAGAAAAAAAATATTTTAAATTGTAAGAAAAAAAAGTAAAATTCAAAGCTGTTGGAACATTTTGTTAAAAAATGCAGACTTCTCAAGTTAAAAGATGGGATTTTCCAATGAATGTTGCAACTGAAAATTTGAAATTGGTGAGTTTTCATCTCCTGCCACATAAAAATGCATGATAACATGCAATCATGATTTTCCTACATGGCTTCTTTTTTTCAAGTGTACTCTTATATAATTAGACGGGTTTTGTCTTTGTTGAGACATCAGAACCCAAAGGACCTTCTGTGCTGGCTACTACACAGCAGGACAGAAATGAAGAAGTCAGCTAAGGCAGCTGGCATGAACCTTCCCACTTCAGATGTTCCTGTGTTTAGCGCCTGCTCGACACCTGCATATTAGAGGCAGTAGTGGACACATATAGATTATGTAGGCATACTTGCAAAATAAAGGTGTATAAAGTCACTTATATGCTACGTTTTTTCAGGTACCAGACAAATAGAAACAGGTATTCACTTGAAATTACAAATAGAGAAAATATACCTTCTTTACGGCATTACAGGGACAAGAACATCCTTCTCCAGGCCACAGCCTCAGTCAGGGAATCCGAGTCACTCTCCAGACCCTGATCTCTCAACTGCTCTTTCTTATCAGCTTTTTGCTTATTGGCGTAATTTAGCCCTTTGTAACTGCAAGACAGGGAAAACCCTGATTCCTTGACTAGCTGACACTGTAATTATAGTGGCAAGATGTCATGTGCTGTAGTTTTAGTGTAATATTATATAAAAACTTGCATTATCGGCACAGGTAAGTTCTAATGCTATAGGCGCAGAAAATAATATCCATATATATGTCTTAAGATATAGTATTACTGTTCAAATGGTTAATGTCTGTAGCTATTCATATGTAATGTATATTGATAATATTCCAAAGTTACTACTCTTTAAGTTCAACTTTATATGATTTTATTATACTATATAAAAAGGTGAAAGTAAGTAATTAATTGGAGTGCTAGCACCTACCTTCCATTACAGAGGGCCTACACTAAGCATCTTGCTGCAAATCCTTAGCTTCATTCACGTGGTAACACTTCATTTTTAACTCAAAGATAAAGCTCTACCTCAGAATGTCTTCTGCTTTTGTTCTAGCCCATCACAGGTGTGGGCCTGATACATCCCAAGATAAAGCAAAAGTGGAGATTTCACTGGCTAAAGCTGGGTGAGGTTCAACAGCAATAAAAAGATTGCAGAGGTAGGGAGAAGTCTCTGAAATAGAGTTAGAAGTAATGGCAGTATATTATTATTTTAGTTGATCTCTATTCTATGTTATTCTACTTTAGCAAACTGCTTCAGGAAAGAGAGGGTTGAAGTGAGGTTAGAATCTGTCTCAAATCCTGGTGGGTTCCCCATGTCAACCTCTTCCTGACACTCACTCCATGCTCACGTGCCCTTGCTATTGTCACACACTGCACAGGCAGCAGGGACCTCACCCCAAGAGATCTGCCCCACCAAGGTCTGTGTGCAGTCAGAGCACGACTGCTTGGTGGAACTACGACCTTCCCTGTGCTCTACCATTCCAGTGTTAGAAATATTCCTTTGAAGTCAAACTGCCATTGATATTTCCCTCAGGCCCATCACTGATGTCATTTTTGTTACATCATCATGTTGTGGTTTAGTATAAAAGGGATTAGCTCCAACAGTGAGCAGTTTGTGCACATACTACAAGTAGGCACATTCTGTCATGCTGACATCAAGCTACTAACACAAACACATCTATTAACCTTCCTCTCTTGCTCAGTGAGACAATACCTCAAGGTATTAGCCTCTGAGCCTCCTTGATAAATCACTGACGTATCGGAAACCTGATTATCCAAACAGAGCAGGGGCAGAGGATGCTATTCAGCTGCAGAAAAACATGGAAGAACAACATCCATGAGGCTTACAATGAAATATTTTTTATATACTTAAATAGTTAACAAAAATTTATTGCAAGAGATAGTTTGTCACTAGATTTACAGCTTCAGAGAACATAGTACAAAACATAGTGCATCGGCTTTGTCTAAACATTAAATAGGTGCAAATACACAAAGATAAAACCAAAAAAGTGAATACTTTACAACGTAAGTTATAGAACTATAAATATATTTTATATACATTGTACATATTCTAAGACATGATTTTCACTTATATATAGAGAGTTCATATTAGCATCAGTGCTTTTGTTATAGTATAGGTCTGAACTCAACATGAATGTTTGCATCATTGTACTTATAGTAAATGCTTCCCAAAGAACGAGGAATTATAACTAGTTCATTTCACAGAACCGTTCTGCAAAGCCAAGGGGGCTGTAGAAGCAGCAGGACCACTCAGCTGAAGGCTCCTTCCCCTAGCCCCAAGAACCCATCCTAAAAGAGGGGCTGCAGGGGGATGACAGCAGGGTGTGGGGACAGCAGGGACGGGAAGACAGCATGTGGCAGTGGTGTGAATGCCGGTGGGCTTGGCGGCAGGACCGAGGGTGGCAGCAGTGGCAAGTGCGGTGCGGTGACAAAAGCTGTGTGAGCCCCCGGGCAAAGCCTTGGTCCTACTGGCACATGAGGTAAAGGCGCTTGGGTAAGAGCCGGGACCTGTGAGAGGAACTGCTGGTGGGGCTGGAGAACCTTCAGTGCAGCAGTAGCATGCTGCTGCAGGACAGTGTGGTGGATGGTGGTGACGGAGGTAGAGCACAGCGGCGGCTGCAGGGGTACAGGCTGCAGCGGGGAATTCGGGGGCTGGATTGCCGTGGGAGGGAAGGTGAACTTCACTTTGCTGGTCAGCATGTTTTGTGGCATGATCTGCTGATAGGCCTCGGATGGGAGATCTTTGAATTTATCTGGAGGGAATATCAATGTTTGATCAGGCAGGGTAAAAGGGGCTAGTAACTGCTCAGTAGTTAAAAAAGTGTGACTGTTCACATGTGCTTCCTTGAATGGCAAGGGTGGTGGGCTGCTAAATATACCAGGATTACACTGTACCCATTCACCAGCCACCTCATTTATTTTCTCATGTTGTAGGGACTTGGACAATTCATAATGGCAAAGATAGGATTTAGGAGGAGCTTGTTCCAAATGTCTGTTGGGGAGGGGAGGTTTGTTATAAGCCTGATTTTCATGACTGTTGACCCTTTCTTTCTTCTTTTCCTCTTGCAGAACACCCTGTGTGCTGGCAGCTGCTGGAGTGCTGTGCTCAGGAACAGGCACAGTGACAACATCAGAAAATATACCCGGCGTGTTCTCCATCACTGTGCACACCTTTGGTTCATTGTGTTCTAGCCCGTGTGAACTGCCAGTGTCTAGAGATGACTTGCTTTCCTCCAGTTGCATCGTTTCATCCATGTCTTTTGCATGATCAGCTTTGGGATCCACATTAACTTCCTCTAGACCATCTTGAACCAAGAGGTCCCCCAAAACATTTAAGGTAGAATTTGCAGAACTTTCTTTGGAAAGTCTGGAGTTCTCACTCCTTGCATTCCTGTCAAGGAATACGTGATAGATTCTGGTTTTTCTTTTCCTCCGTTTCCCTTTTGCCTTGTGATGTGTACCTATAGTTCGCACTTGCCTTGGATATTCTTCTGCTGATAATGTTTGTCCGTATGAGCTTTCTTCTGATGAGGAGGAACAGATATGCTGTCTCCGCTTGCGGTGAGATTTCTCAGTTTCTTCTGTCAGAACATTGCAACCTCTCTTTACGGACTGGTTTTGACTCAGACTCTTTTCCACACTGCAGTGTCTGAAACATTTATGCTCTGGGCTACAGCTTGACCTCTTGACTTTCCAGCTACATGTTTTAGCACACCTGATGCTGTGCCTCCTGGAACTCAGAGCCAGCTGCTCTGCCTGTGCCCGAGAACTTGCTTTGCTCCTTCTGTGCCATCGCTTACAACCATGGTGCTGGCTGTTGGTTGTACTCCAAACATCACACCAGCCTCTGTCCCCATATACATGATGTGATGCAGATACGACTCTCTTATGACCATTTTCAGTGCCAAGTTTTTGATGTGACTGCTGTAGCTCACCTGCAGCTAGCCAGATACTCCCCACATCGTATCTGCACTTCTCTGAATTATTTTGGAGGTGCTGATATTTATTTTCATCTCGGTAACTGATATCTTTTACACTCACTGAGGACATCTCCATTTCTGCTGCTGTTGTGTCCCCACAGTGATGATGATGACAATGATATAATTTTCTTCTCCTTTTCCGTTTTCTACTTTTGTGAAGCCATTTTTCATGGCTTTCTTTGATCCAGACTTTGTTGTATTTCTCATCTATCACAGTGTTTTGTTGTAAGTGATTTTTAGAAATGTGACACTTTTCTATTTTTTTAATCCTGAATGATTCATCCAAGGACACTTTATTTTGATTTTTTGCAAGATCACAACTTCTGAGGAGGGAATCATCACTTATAAGGGGTATTGTATAGTCACACACATCTTTATTCATTTCTGTTTCATAATCACCACACTCTGAAGTAGGTTTATTTGTAAAATCCAAGACTAAGCTATGGTTGGATTCACTTTTATGGTGCAAATGAGGTATGTTTGGCTGATGCTTGGGCTTTTCTTGGCTGTCAGTTGCTCTTGATGACTTGAAATCAAAATATAAAGGATTGCAGCTATAAGAAATTGATGGGTCTGTACTTGTGTAAATTAACATTTCTGATGGCCACTGAAGAATATTTGACCCATGTTTGCTAAGAACAGGAACAAAGGGTTCACAAGGTCTCTTGCTCATGTCCGGTTTGCTTTGTAGGGTTCCACCACTAACTTCTTCAGATGCCGATGGAACTGATGCATCTGCCCCCAGCCTTTTTATTTCAGTTTCAGTCATGGATGGATCACTGTTCCTGTCTGTATCATCTTCTTCAGCAACATCCTGCAAAGATAAACAGTCCTCCACAACCGCCTGTGCCAGAGCCCTGTTTGCCTGTGGTTCACACTCGCTGCAGTCCAGGGGCAGGATCTGAGCACTGTTCACAGCCATGGGCAGCGTTTGGTCCACTGCATCTGCTGCACTCACATCAATGCCATAGCCCGTGTCCAAGGACACCAGTTGCTTTGAATAGGATGGAGCAGGAGTTAAGACAGGAGACTCCAGCATGCCGCTTTCTTCATCAGCCAGCTTTTCTGACTCCTGAGCTTTAGGAGCTTCTGCTGTGTCTATGCATTTTTCCACCAGTGGGTGAAAACAGTTATGTTTCTCCTCAGGGCACAGGACTATTTCTGCCACTGAAGGAGACTGAATGTCACATGCTCCTGGAACAAACCTGCTTCTTCTGCTAAATCCGTGCTCTATAGACGTCTCGTCATTATATTCATAGAAAACGGCAGCTGAAGACTCCAGTTTGACCACTGCTTTCTTGGGAAAAGCAAAAGAGAAACCAACTCTATGTCCTTGAGCTCCTTGAACCTGATCCCCACATTTGCTAGTGTCGGATTTATTACTACATGCATGTCCAGGAGTGGAAGAAGTAAGAGAAGCAACATCTTCACCATTCTGTGCATCATGCATTAAATCCCGATTGTTGGAAGAATCTATGGCAGTACTTTGGGGGATATCACTGCAATGATCTTGCACAGTCACTGTCGTAGATTTGAACATAGGGCCGCTCCCAGGAGCACTAGGAAGGAAAACAAAACTCGGAGTCAGTACCTTTCAGAGAGCTGCAGACAGAAATATGGACTTACGTTGGTGTCTAAGACTTTTTTTTAAGGAAGGAGGAAGAATCTGAGGATACATAGGTTTAGAATATGAAAAAAATATCATCTTTCATAGTAAGATCAGTTGACTAGAATTAAAAAAAAAAGTAAATATTGTGCCTCCAGTTCCTTCATGTGAAGTTAGCAGCTGAAGAGCTCAGATCCCTGTGAGGTAGTTCACTTTTCCTGGCCTGCCTGTCCCAATAAGAGACTATCCATTTATACAGAAATCTTGCTTCTCCTCCCAGTAGACCATCATGATTACAAGACTGTTACTACAAACAGCGTGCGTTTTACATCCATTTGTGCTACAAAATATACTAAACCACGGAGTGCCTCATGCACTTGACTTCCCCCTTAGTCATCACCCCAGTGACCACAGCTCTGCCCATGGGCAATCACACAGCAGCTCCTGCCCTATTCGTGTTCACAGATTGAACCACTGCAATCTCAGCAATTTCTTTCATGGAAAAATAATGTTGAGGAGAATATTTCATCTGACAGTACTGCAGTAAGTGATTCATCCCTCCCGAGGAAAAATTTATCACTGTCTACTTCTGTTCTTCATTCCATGTCCTCTTCCCATCTGTTCTATTTGACTTAATACAAAGCAAAGAGCAGAGCAAAAACTGTTGAAGCTGCCAATTTTCCAGGATCTACAGGAACTGCTCAGCACTGGGAGTAATGGACCTGTCTTACAACTTATTTTTTTTTCTTTTTGTAACCAAATTATTCTATTTCTATTTTCAGTGTAGAGCAGTACTAGATAATGAGTCATTGGGGAAACTTTCACATGTTGTTTAGGACCCCTAGAAGTGCTGAGACAAAGAATGCTGAACTTACACTACCGGGTCAAGAATTAAGGTAGAGGTTTCATGAGAAAGGAATTCTTCATGTGAGTTCCTGCCTTGTCCAGTTCTTCATAAATTTAAAATATATATTAACCCCCTCCCAAATCTTTTCTTTAACACCATAAAATGGTGACTTCTGTAAAACCAACCTAGAAAACATCAGTTTAAGCAACACCGTGTGTCTGTCTGTATCACACCTCTAAGTAACACTCTTTACTACAAAGTGATAGTAAAAATCAATTCTTAAATAGAGAAATAAAGCTCAGAAATGAACTCTCCTTCATGACATCTGCATTTCAGCAGCTACTTTTTGCCTTTTCCCCCTGAGATTCCACTGTAAGAAGTTGGTACCTGTATTTTCAGTGGCTTGTCGGTGTTACAACTGTGTCATATTTAAGTAAGAACACAGTCACATTGAGCAAGCTCAGTATTAATTTCAACAGTACCCCTGGATGCAAAACATATGACTAGCAAGGAGTCACTTTTGCATAGGAAGGTGCACACTGTTGAGCTGGGGAAAAGGACCACTTACCTCTTAACATCAAAAATCCAGTTACTGAAATTTAAAACCAGATTTCTGGATCCTTTGCCAGGCTAGCAGTTTGAAAATGAAATGGCAGAGATCTGTTACATCCTAGAAAGACAGACTGTATTCCTCACCTCATCAATGAAGTAGTGTCAGCCTGCAAATGCATGGCCTGGTTTATGCAGCTTTCAACCAACGTGCCTGGTTTTATGAAATATGTATGAAACTTCTTTTTTTAACCTAAAAATATATGTAATTTTAGCTCCACTGAAAAAGCAAGGGTAAACATTCATTTCTGCACAGTTTGAATCAGATTACTGTACACATACTGCTTCAAAAATACCATCCAAACAAATCCATGGGGCTCCAGTCAAGGGACTCCAATCGCCCTCTGTCCCACAGCACCAGCTAACAGCAAAGGGCTTATTTGAAAGTATTTTTTGTTTCAGCAGTTATGCACTTACCACGTTCTCTCTTTCCTTAGCTCAGCTAGCTTGTGCAAACGTTGAAGGGCTTTCTCCTGTTTCCTTTCATCTTTCCGTGACTTAGACGCTACGTTTCGAGCAAATTCCCTCTGTTTCAGCTCCTTCAGTCTCTGCAAGAAATAGCCATATAATGCACACAAAATTGGGATGATGAACATTTATAACAACAGTTCTAGTGCTTTCTGGTAAGCACTCGTGATTACATATATATATATTTA